GCAGCAGCCGCTGGCGGTAGGAGAAAGAGAAAGAGAGAGACGCGCGCCCGTCGCGCGCGCCCCGGCACACACACACACACAGAGACACACGCACGCCACCGCGCGCAGTTTTGGTCTCCCATCTGTGTGCTCGCCTGCCACGATCCCGGAATAGTTTTGTTCCTTAGGCAAACACAGCGTGCTTCGACCTACACATCTCCGCCGCCGCCCACCCCCGACGCGTTGGTAGGACAAGCAGTGTACACACGCAGACGTCGTGCCCCCCCCCACAATTGCCCCTGGCATGAAACTGCGGGGATGAATGCAAAGTGATACTTTTATTGTGATGGAGGATTTAAATATATTAGGATTCCCGTTTGGACATGAAAAATGTGTCTCGAAATCGAGTCTGGAAAGGAAGTGGCTGCTGTCTGATTTTCTCTCCCCCCCCTCCTCTCCCCGCGCCCGCTCCCCAGATTAAATGCTGACTGCACAGAAGATTTAATAGGATTAGAAAACGGCCAGTGCACTCAATCCTAAAAGATGTTGTGGTATTCCTATGTAAACAGAGTCACACAGGAAGCCTTCTTTTAGCCTAATTACTAGGGATGGGGGAGGTGTCTTTAACTTAGATCAAACAGACAATCAGAACTGAATCGGGGCGGGGGGGGATGTTCTTGAAAGGTGCCCTCTGTGGAGGGATGCCAAAGAAGCACCCGAAAGTCGAAGGGATGGTTTGCATTCCTGCTCTCTCTATTTTAAAGCCGTGGAAGTAAAGTCAAAGTGAAACACAGGAACCCCTCACCCAGCCACCCACCTTAGCATTCATGATTGGAATATTGCAAGCTGATCGGGGCTTGGGGCTTTCTGTTGTGGTGGATTGTGTTCCTCTGCAAAACGTGTTGTATCTTTAATGGAGTTACTTTGAATAATAAATGTCCTAGTGAATGCCAGCATGAGAAAGCAATATAAGAGGAGGGGAAAGTGTTCGCTGGAGATATTCAGCCTAACAAACGAGAGATCTGCGTAACCCGAAAGCTTGCTCCCAACATTTCAAACCTTGTTGGGTCCAAATCCTGACTGTGTCTTCCTTGTCTTCTCTGGCTTATAGTGAGTGTTTCCTTGTTGGATTTGTTAAAAAAAAAAACCACCCATGCTGACTCACTTCTTTAAAAAAAGTATTTTGATTTCTCACCCTGTGATTAAGAGGTGAGGTGGAAGGAGCCACTTTGCGGGGTAAACAACTTGTGTGTTGTTGACTGGGCTTTCCAGCTGTCTCCCTTGTTTAACCCAGAGGAGGAGGAGGAAACAGTGGCTGCTGTGTTTGGCTGATTAATTATTTGGACCTCTTTTACTCCAGTGTGCAGTCTTTCTCACACACAAACACACACACACACCCCATTTCCAAATTGACTTGCTACACTGGTGGTTGAGACCCCTCCCCCATCGGAGAATTGGGGGGGGGATTTGTTTGGGTGGCCTTAAGCTGCTACTTACTCTTCTATTCCCAGGGTTACGGCACTGCTTTTGTTATGGGCGTACTGAAGGGGGAGTATGGGGGGGTTGGTTGGTCCGTAACCAGGGTGATTAGGAGGAGAGTATTCTGGGGGGGGGTGGCATTCCCTCCCTCTTGGATCAACCCTGCTTGTGCTTTCTTTTCAGAGTCCTCCTTCTTCCTGGAATAATAAATTTAAAAGCTGCTTTCTCTCTTATTCTCCTCCCAGCAGGCTGAAGCCAGGAATGGCGAAAGGGAGGGGGGGAAGATGGCACCGTGTCTGCAAAAGATCCCGGCGTTTGTAACAGGAGATTAATAGGTTGCAGGGGAGTCTCTGTTGCCATCTAGCACGATCAGCTCCGTGTTTCCCCTTTCTGCAATTTGCAAGGGCTCATGGGGACTAGTCCTCCCCCCTTCTCTCTTTCACTGCCACTGGAAAATAAGGCAGGCATTTTTGCAGCTTTATAGAGATGCTACCTACAGGAGCCTTCCCAAGAGAAATAGTGCATGACCTCTGCTCTGAATCCCCATATGTCTTCTAGGAAATTTTTAAGGGTGGGGATTTAATAAGTAGCTTAATAATCCCATTATTTCCTTGTGTCCATGTCTGGTAACTGTGTACTCTGCCCAAGTAAGTATATGCAAGGGCTCATTCGTTCTCTTCTCCACTTACCTGCAGTTCAAAATGTTCATGCCATAAATAGCTTTAGGCTTTTCTCCCTTTTCATTCCACCTTTGTAATGTCCAGATGGGTTTAGACACCTGAATTAAGGGGGGAAAGTATGCAGGGCTGGGGATCTAGTCCATGTGGAAGTCATTCTTTAATCCAGTAATACCAGTGTGCATGAGGCCGTACAGAGGACGAATCCTTGTGAGCAGATAAGTCTCTGTCCCAAAGAAATTAGAAGCCACATTTGAATGAGAGGGAGACAAGTGGTAGCATCGCAGGTTGTTTTGCTCCATCCCTCATCAATACCAGCAAGAAGAGCTCAGGTGTTGGTTGTGTTGGTCAATGAGGAAGTGGTCCACACAGCATATGCCCAAATGACTCTCTTGTGTGCTTTTGTTTTTGCATTATTTCTCATAATGGTGAGAAAATGGTGGAGTGGATGCTACGTACGTACATACATTGGACCACATAATCCATTCACTGTGGCCTGCAGCTACTTACCATACCTTACTGTGGGGGCAGGGCCTATGTGGCTCTCCATCTGTGCTAGTTTGCAGCATCCTTCAAAATAGTCTTTCTTAGGCATTACATGAAAGTTGATGGGAGTTGCAGTCCATTCCTATTTATTGGGTCACATATTTCCCATCTCTGCATTATTGTGTAAAAACACCACCAAGGAGGAAAGCTCACTAAAAGTGTTCCTCTGTTACTTTCTAGGCAGTCCCTTGTATTTCCACAATCCCCTACCAGACTGCTCTGTTTAGTTCACTGTCTTCCCTTGTTTTTTTTTTCCTCAGTAGTTCAATATGTGGTCCTCTTCTCTTTTCCTCCCCATCACAACTCTGTCTTCATGACAGCCCTAAAAGATAGAATGAGCTCAGAGCTAGTGAACCTCCTAGCTGAATGGGAACTGTGGAACAAAGGCTTCCCCAGTCTAGTGTCCACCAGGTCAGCTAGCATAGCCAGTGAGGAGAATGGAAGCCACATGTTAACATATTGGGAAGACAGTGGATTGAGAAGGTAGCTGTAAATGTGAGCTATTCCCCTAAAATTTTTGAATATGGAGTGGAAACCTGAATTACACCAATAATGACTGGAGAGATCTTCTCTGCCACTCTTGCTCCACAAGTGTATCTTGGTTTGTGAGTGTCTGGAGATTTATCTGATCTAATAAGTTGTTGGGTGAAAATGTCTCCTTTTGAACTAGCCGGGCATTAAATAGAGCAACTTGTAGTGGAAACATACTATTTTCCTATTATATAATTCTCTAGTGTTTCTATGTTTAGCTCTTTAATCCCTGGTTAATTCCTAAAGCATGTCAGTTTTGGAGGTCCCTTGCTTGGAGAAAAGACTGACCAGCACCTCCTGAGGAAAACAGACTTTGAAAGCTTTGCTGGTCGAAATAAATCCATGGATCCTATGTAAGCCAACCTCTCACCAGAGTTCCACCGAAGAGGGAAGAAAATGAAGGCTGTGTCTTATACAACAGTAGATCCATACTTAGGCACTTTTAATGGGGCACAAATGGCAGAATGTAGGGCTCTTTGCATTCAAAGATTAATTGCAAGTTCTGAAAAGGCTTATCATTTGGTACTGACTGCATAACTGAGCATTTTGAGAATTCTACTATATGTACAGGCAAGGACTTAAAACTTGAGCTCTAAACTAAGTGGGCAGTTCCTGATATACTGTAATCAGCGTGAATGCATTGATGGGATGCCTACAAGAAGGAGCATCATTCAAAAAATGCTAGCAGGAGGAAGGAAGTTGAGCCAAAGTGTCTTCTCTTCCCTCCTCCTTTCACTTGAGAAAGTCATGCAATCATTTTGAACTGTGGAGGGTACCCAGAACTAACTCAGCTGGGTGGCACATACTGAGTATAATCCAGCAAGTCTGTGTCTCTTCTGGGAAAATCTTTAAAAGGTGGGTTAATCTGAAGCTTTGCTGGGGACATGCTGGAGATGTTAGCAAGGGCAGCAGTTGCCACAGCTAATAGTGATCTTTTGCTGCACCAGAAAGGGCATGTGACTTAATGTGTACACTGTGGATGCCATCTAGAAACTTTTCCTTTTTTCCTTTCATTTGTTACAATTTTTTATCCTGCATTTCCTCCAATGAATTCAAGGGGACATGTGCAGCTCTTTTTTATCCCCACTTTTATCTTCCCAGCAGCTTAATCCAACTGAGATTTTGTTTCACAACAAAGTGCCCATTTAAACCCAGGT